TCCAATTAAAGAGGGAATCTACATCAAAACAGGAAACAATCCTATGTTTCCTAAAGTAAGAAGATCTCTACACCTACTGCCCTTTCCTGCGAGCAGCCTAACTGGTGTGGGGGCATTTGTGGAGCCAAAAATATGAAGGTGACACGTGGATTTTTGGGTTACCTTCAAGACGCACCGAAACTCCCACGTGCAAGCAGTGGACAATAACGGCTCAATCAAGGTCAAAGGTGAACAAAATAGGTATTCATTCAAAACATATTTCATCAATCCTCATCAAATCTTCCCCACAAGGTAACCCCAAATTATTCTTTTCAAATTAGGATTAATTACCAAAATTAATTGATTAATTTTCTAATTAATTGGTTAATTTTCTAATTTTTGGCTCTAATTGCAAGATATTATTTTGAAGAGCCAAAAATCACCATAAGTGGCCAAGCCCCTTTTCTCCAAATACGGACCGGCCACACCCCTATAAATAACCTTCATTTCTCCCAAAAACCTAAGTCCAATTCTCTTGCAAAATTCTCCAAATTTCTCTAAACACTTTTCCCTCAATTTCTAACTTTGGTATCAGAGGTTCTTTGGCCAAAGGCGCCCTCCCCCCACCATTTATCGCGGACGTGTGAGGCTCTTGGCATCGGAGGTTCTTCGGCCAAAGTCCCCCCACCCCCCCATTTCATTGCGGGCGTGTGAGGCACTGAGGCTCTTGGCCTTAACCTAAGGTGTTAATTGTTTTGCAGGTGCATTTTTGTCCAAGAAGAAGAAGATGGAAATTTGCATCAACAAACATGATATATTTACACTAAGGGAGTGAGAATAAATTAAGCTATGCATTGGGCTTATAATTTAACAACCATCTCCACTAAGATGTCGTGTAATGTTCAGTCCTCGTTGACGAGAAATGACCTTGTCAACTCGGTTGCTGTCTACCGAATATTTTCTTTGGTTCGATCGTGCACAAGACAACCGAATATTCGTAGCCTATTTGTACGTTGTCTTCCAAACGATGTGAGTCCGAATGATCCTTGATCCTACCAAGAAAAGATATACATGAAGAAATGTCAAAACTATGATGCAAATCCATTTTTAAGGGTTGATATGGCAAATCGATATATTCTAAAACTCCACTAGTGTGAAATGAGCTCAAAATAAGGAGTGAAATGTGCAAAACATTTGGATTCTAAAAAAGTCTTATTGTCTTACATACAAGATACATAAAAGTTTCGCAATGTCTAGAAACTCTTCACACAAACTCTAGGAATTCTTATTTTTAGAATATCCCTAATCCCTCAATACCCTTTAGCCCAATACATGTAATTAAGAAAATTGACCGTATTAAGAATGGCAAGAAGTGTGCAAAACAAATCCGAACGGATATGATTCAAATCATCTCCTCCAAGACATTCTCTACCAAATTTTGCACTCACTGAATTTGCTATGGACACCAGAACTAAGCTTAAAAAGTACCCCAAAGATATTGAACACCATGACAATGCAGTTCACGTACTCCTCATGGTACTTGGCGCCTCTGAGTAAAAGAACTCGAGCATTCCTCCAAGAGTAAGCATGTCGCAAACTCCTAACAAGAGGAATTGCCATCCTAGCCAAAAGACAGACAATGTGACATCATCGTGAGCCGCTTTGCACCTCTTAGCTTCAACTAGGGCAGCTACAGCCATTGACCCAGACGCCAGTGCTAGACCCAGTCCGATCTTTCAAAGGGGTTGGAGCATGTGACTTTTGTGTTGGAACCGTTCGCATAGGGAATTGAAGCAAGCACGATGGAGAGAGGGGGTACGTTTAAGGACTGAGTGGTGATTTCAAAGTTGCGTGAATTTCTGTTCATTTTGCTCTCTTGTACCACTGAGAATGATTCAACTTGGGCTAGGCAGCAATTCATCATGATTGTGCTGCAAAGATGGGAACCTGAGAAATTATTATGTACTAATAATACTTAATTTAATTAGGCACAAAGAAGAAGTTACTTAAGCTTGTCATAGGACTGTCCATCCGCTCTGTTCGGATTGATTGAAGATACTGCACGCTGGTTCCCCGCTCTTTCGTTCGATGAAGGTTTCCAGTTTCGAGCTGCATAAACAAGTACCTTTCACAATTCACACATCTAAAAAAAATAAAATCAAAATCCAGTGGCATCAGTCTGTTTGATAATTGATACTACTATGTCTTCAAAAGTACTTTGTCTAATTTCAGTTTTACCTTGATGATTCATGTTAACGAGTTCCCTGCAGTGGGACTTTGTGCCTATAAAACGGAGTCCCAATGATGAAAATGACTAGTGACAAACTCAAGGCTATAACTCTTATCAAAAAGCTCCAATTCCAGCCTATGTGATCTTCCATCCAAACCACAACAGTTGAGCTTATGAGTCCCCCAAGGCATATGTCAAAGTTAAACGAATTGAAGAAGGCAGAGATGAGCCTCACATCATTGTGATCAAGCTGATTAGCACCATGTGCACGTAAGGCGACATTGAGTCCAGCTATACCAGCAGCAAATACATAGAGGCCAACGTATAGAACGGTTGTTTGAGACAGAGAAGGCTTCGCTTTCACAGCTGGTCGTAAATGTGGGAATTGAGCTTGGATTGCCAGCAAGATTACTTCCTATACTTGGTACCGAAAAGCTCATTCAATTTCGTATTACATGCTTAGATGAAAACATGCCATGAAACATATACATAGTTGAAAGAAAAGCATCCCGCTAAGTTTATTGCACAGAAGATGATGAAGGTTGTGAAGCTTGTGAGGAGTGAGTCACAAATAAAGCCTCCCACGAAGGAGAGCAGAAAAGAGGTTCCCATGAAATTGGTCACCATATTTGCTGATGTAGCAGGTGAGTAATGCATTGACAACCGGAAGTATGAGACGAAGTTAATGGCATTGGATAAGAAAACCATGTTGATCAGCACCCCAACAACTGCAAACAAAAAACTAAGAACAAATTTCCTCATCATAGAACTACTTCTTACACCCTTACAAATCAAAGTTTTGTGGGATTTACAAATACCCCACATTGTAAGGAAAGTTGAGGTTTCACCCTAACAATCTTTAGTCGTTGAAAATAAAAGTCATGCATTAAGTTCTTAAAAGATCTTGGATTGCATTTGTTGAAGAACATGAGAATCCCACAACGGAAAATTGACAGGACTAAATATGACATATTGAGTATGTTCCACCCTTTATTACACTGAGACTTTTTGTAACAAACTCTCACACATGCCTGCTATGCAGGTGGTAATATGCAAGTTAAGTGACAATAATAGTGTGGTTAGTAATGATTAATGAGTCATTGACCAACTTTACCATTATTTTTTAGTTAAAGTACTCATTGTCTATTAATTTTGAGTTGGATGTTCATATTCTAACATTCTAACAGATTACTAATGTAGTTCATAAAAATTTAAACTTAAGTAGAAGGTTGGATAGGACTGAGATAAAGTAAATCTAATCTTTACTATTCCGATAAATTAAGGTCTCCGCAACTTGGTAAATTTAGAAGTTACCACATGTAAGAGCAGCAACTCTAATTCCTAAATATTTTTTGGGATTTGCCTCCTTTCCTCTCCAGTCAACAAACTGATCATCACTTTCTTTGTGAGAATCACTTATTTATGCTTATGCAAAACCAAATAATCAAATATACAAAAAAAATATATATATATCTGTTGTATACATATTAAACTGTGATAATCAAAATTGTGAAAATGTCTGGGTTTGAAATGAATGAGCCGAGGTATTTTCCTTACAAATTATTTTAAAGTCCTACGATCGTTGAGGCCTAACCAAGAAAACAATATAACAACAGAAGGGCTCAAAAAAAGCCAACCCCGCCGATGAAAATACTGATAACCCTAACATAACCAAACCAAGTAGATATACAAAAATAACAGATCTCAAGTCTCTACATTTAGTTCTTGTGCATTTATCCGCGTTCCGCTCTATCTCAATCATTCTAACAATCTAACGAGTTAAAATATGACACATCATCTAGCATTAAATTTAATTAGTTTATTTTGTTTTCTAATTTTCTAAAAAGACTTTAACCTTGTTCTACCGTTAGTCTTTTGTAGACAATTAAAACTGTAACCTTTTATGACTGCCAAAAATCACATAAACTGATCCGATGAATCATATCAAGCAAAAACCCAAAAAACGATCTCTCTCTCTCTCTCTCTCTCTCTCTCTTTGGATTATCTACAATCATTTTTTGGTTTGAATATTCGGTTCGTGCTACCTCGGCTTTTTATACTTTTCCCAAAACTTTCGTGGGATTACTTAACATGCAGTACAATCATAGTAGAACCTCAAACCAATCAAACCATTTTTTTTTCTTTTCTTTTTTGAGGTTTGTAAGCTTTGTGAAATATTTGCTAGGATGTTGAATCTCTTTTATTCTCGTTGTAAGTTTTAATGGATCAGTTGTAAATAGCAGCAAGCATGGTTTTGATGGTCTACAATGGTAGGATTCAAGAGAGAGGATCAATGAAACTTTGGGAGAGAAAAAACTTAGTGCAGTTAGAAAAATAATTAGAATCTAAAAATAGAACAAAACTTCGTAAATTCTCTATTAACCTATGTATCACTTTATAAGTTATTAGATTATTTGAATGATCGAAATACAATAAAATACGGTACATGTACAAATCCTAAATAGAGAGATTCAAAATCTCAAAATAATATAGTCGGGACTTGCTCATCAAGGCAGTGGAATTGCCTTTGGTGCAAGTAAAACTCGGATCATAATCAAATAAATGATGATGATTCTTGGAGGTAATAAACATAAATAATTTATTGTTCAAAGAATCAAAGAATATATTTTGAGTTAAAACCAAATCTATTACAAATAATTGGAAAGTATTATGCTTCCTTCCTAAGTATCAAATATCTGTGTAAATACTAATTAACACAATTAAAGTGGATTTTTTTAAAACAAATCTGAAACCAAAAGTTTTCGATTTGGTATTAGACTATCGATAAGATATGATGAACCCTAGCTACAAGGTACTAGGTCTCAGTGCTCGTGCAACCAAAGAACAAATCAAACAAGCATACAGAAAATTGGCATTGAAGTATCACCCGGACAAACACACCAACTCCCCCCAAAACATGAAAGACGATGCCACCCTCAAGTTCAAAGAGGCCACAGCGGCCTATGAGAACCTCATGAACAACAACAACCATAGCCCAGACCACCACAGCGACGATGACATTGACAACAATGACCATCATTGCAACAAAGAGAACGACAATGAAAAACGTGATTTTAATCACCATCACTATGACGATGGTTACAACTATAGCCATCAACACTACTATAGTGACTATAGTGGCAGTGGTTATAACTACCATCGCTTTGATGACGATGACGGCTACAGCAACAAGTATTACCATCCGTATGCCGATGATTTTGACTATAAACACCACTGTAGCAGCAATTCCTATAGCCACGACCAAGACCACGGTTACAACTACAACCACCACCGCTATATCCTCCACGAGTATTACGATTACGTCTTTAGCGGCCATCACTCTCGCTCCCATTGTCCTGATTACAGTTACTACAACAATAATGACAGTGGTGAATATTGTAACAAGACCAATATTGAAATCCTTGGAACTGAATTTTGGGGCGTTGATGTAGATGATCCTAAGCCTGCAAGCGGTATTGTGGTTTTCATAAAGTAGGGTTACTCTTTCACTTCCTAAATTTCTCCTTTGATCTTCTCAAGTTTTTTATTCTGTTATTAAAAGTTATTTGAAGAATATATTTACGTATATTCATTTTGAATAAAAACATTTTAAATTCAGTCTGAAATTGTTTCATTTTAATTTGTAGTTTTGTATAATGCAGTATGCTTATTACTGGGTTTCAGCGGACTGCATCATGGGTGAAGAAATTTTGGGTATGTTTCAGAATTTCTACTTTCGATCCTCTTCTCTTTCATCTTCGTATAAGAGATTTATGTTAAATTCTGAATCTATACCAACAATTATGCATATGTTCGTTTTTTATTTTTTAGTTTTTTTTAGTGCAGCATGTGTTCATGTTACTTCACGAAAGTATAATGATCTCTTTGTTTGGCAAGAGAACATTATGCATATTATACAAATCAAAACTTTAAACTGCACATAAACCATAAATATGGGACTAACAGGTATAATTGGACTTATGTTGCTTATATGATGTGATTGAAAATAGTATGCCTAGACATTGCCGATTTATGTCTAGTGCATACATGTAGCATTGCATCTGCAATTCTTTTTAGTACGAACGATAGTGGTGAGGGAGAAAATGAACCTAGGACCTCATGTACATGGATGAATACTCTTAACCACTTGAGCTACGAGTCTTTTGCTGATTTTCTTATTCTTTGGTTGGCATTTAGGGGTTCATGTATGACACTAGTCACCAGTGTTAGAAGAGATTTCTATTTTGATCAAAATACATAACAGTCAATAGAAGAGATTTCAAGTCCGATAAAACAAATAGTAATTTTTTTAGTTAACTGTAACTATCTTCAGACTTTCAATCTAACTAGCTAGATGAGTTTGTAATGCATAATGCAAGGCTTTCCTTAATTTTCATGTTCTTTAAATTTTCTTAGTGTACTCTTGCGTTTTACCCATTGTTCGTCATCACATTTGCAATTTACTTTCCACGATTCTAGTATTCTATCATATTTATCAGATTTCTTATTACTAATGATCGTCTGTTCCTTGTTTGTTTAAGTCAAAAATCATACAGAGAAGCTCAGAAGTCACGCATGAACACACAGATTGAATTGAATCATTATCCAATCAAAAACTGAACTTTGTTGGATTCGATCAGATTGGATTGGATAACCTTGTATCTTTTCTCTTTTTTTGGCAATGCGACATTCAAAACTCTTCTAATCTATTAGAAGAAAGATTCGAACTCATGTGCATGGAAGATTCGAACTGGGATTGGATAACCTTGTAGGCTTGTATCTTCTCTGTTTTTTTTTTTCTTTTCTTGAACACACAGTTTGATTTTAAGTATCATAATACTTATTCAAAGTATTAGACTATTAGTTGCTCGTGGCAGTTTGCCGATTGATCTAACCTACAATATATGCGGATAACCCTGAATCTAATGTAACTGCGTTGGATTCATCCTGTAATCAAGTTACTCATACTTCAGAAAGCAAAGCTTTTTTTGCTTTGATCTCTATGTTAAGATTCAGAAATGTGAAAAATCAATTGTAGGCATTATATGTTGGATATTTTCTTTGGAGTTTCTATTAGCACTAAAAAAATCATCATACACGAAAGAAAACTAGCAGTCAGAAATAAGTTGACCCTCCATCTCTAGCAGTCTTATCCCTCCATCTCTAGCCACTTTGTCCTTAGTTCCATTGATATCGATATTTCTTATGTTAGGTGGCTGTTGAAGAGAGAAGATGGTTCTTTTTCCTCCTTTCACTATTTCAGGAGAAAATTTGGCATGTACTCATTACAATTCATTTGTTTTGAATGCAAGTGACTATTTACAATCAGAAATAAGTTGAACCTTTGCATGCATGACGGCGTGGGTTCGAACTCCGTCAGTGACTAATCTAATATTTAATCTAACAAAATCTATTGAATGACCAAAAAAAAATTATAAATTTTGAATAGATAAACTTATTTAAAAAAAAATAGAAACAAGGCAATGGAAAACAAATTTTAAGTTTTAAGAAATAAAGGGGCGGATTTTGAATTTCAAGGAGTAAAGTGGAATCAAAACTAAGTTTTAAGAAGTAAAGTGACGACTTTTAATTGTAATGACATGTACCTAATTTTACGATTTTATTAATTTTAAAAGAATAAATTGATGAAAATGCCCCTATGGGAAAAATTATTGACTTTCGTTGACCGTCATTTGATGATGTGTATGAGCTATTATTTTATTGTATTCTCGAAGTACTCGACGATATAAACGCTTAGGTGCATGTGGATCGAAATCGAAATTACTACAAAATTTTAAGAAACTATGAACATTAAAAGCGATTTGGTAATTTTAAGGGAAATATTTTCTTTTTTTTTTGTGGCTTTGTTTTGTGAGCCAATAGGGCCCACGCCCCACCCTTTCCCTCGCGGCTCTCTCCCAGGTCTCCCTATCCCTCGGAACTCTCTCATTTTTGTTATTTCTTTCTTCAACTCTCTCATCCCCCTCACTGCCACCTCACCTCTCTTACTCTCTCAGCCCTCACTATAACTCTTTACTTCTCAAACTCTCTGTATCACTGTCCCTATCTGCAAGTGCAGAGTCGCCGGAGTACCACGACACCCATCAGCGACACGGCAGATCACCACCCATCTGTGAAGCCAGAATCGAGGGTACAGAGCCTCGAGCTCGCTCATCCCTCTCTCTCTCTCATCTCTGCACTCTCTGTGAACTGTAATCCCGAACCACCATCACTCGCCGGCTCCGGCGAGCCAAACCATCAAACCACCACCACGCCGTGTTATTCCCCATCTCTGTGTAAGCTCAACCGTGAACATCCAACCCAAACTTGAGACACTACACCTCACTGTCGCACCATCGTTGTTCATGGGATTTTCCGGCGAGTTTCTCCGTTTCTAACAAAGGTGAGCTTTGGGATTCCCTCAAACCTTCAGTATAGATCGATCTAGTCTCATTTATGAACTTGAATGTTGTCGTGCTGAAGCTGGGAACGCAAGACCATCAAGGAGGAGATTTCCCAGTTTTCTGGGAAGTGAGATCGTGGCCACTGAGCCATTTTCAGACAATTTTTTTCGACCTGAACGACCACAACTCGGCCCCATTTGGATACGGTTTTGTTTTTCATATTCCTAGCTTTGATTTGAGTCTTGAATCACTAAAATTGGTTGAGATTTGAACTAGAAAATAGTTCTGGAAGTTAGCTAAAAAACCTGCAAAAACCTGGAAATCGCAATGAAGGCGCATGGGCGTGCATGGTGGCCGGTGCATGCAGCGTGTGGCTGCCTGTGCAGCTACCTTGTGGCGGCGTGTGGAGGAACTCAAGGTTACTCTTTAGGTTTCTTCACATGTTGAATCCGAATTTGCTGTCTATTTTCCGAAATTCGACTTTTTAAAAATAGATCTTTTATTAGCCGTATACGGAAATTTACATTAATATGTTATATATTAGTGTAAATGGTTTCATTTCTAGGTGAAATGCATTGCAACAATCTTCGAAGCCCACGAGATGGGTTCGACTCGATGACATGATTTGCGAGCGTGCCTTTACTTTTAAATATTATATATTTATTTAGTTTCCATTTATATATTCATAAAGAATTTTTACGTTATGTCTAGATTAGATTACCATTTATAAGAATTAGCAAAATGATAAAATTTACGGAATTATGCTAAATCCTCTTGGATGCATAAGTATGTGAATTATTATGGGATTTATTTACGGCCATGAATGATATTTTACTGAACAGTACTATGTCAACTAGAACTATTGATTTACTGTTGCATGATCATATTTACATTATTTGCTCATCGTGTGCTACACTGGTGTTAGTACTCGCCCGGGCCAGAGCTAGTCTTCACGTGTACGCTCACTTTGGATCCATTGTAGGTGCTAGTCTCATCCTAGATTGCTATAAGCAATTAGGATTTGTATGTGATGTGCATAGCGCCAATCTTCAAATGATTGTAGTACTAGAGCGTAAATAATTTCTTTACACCCAGTCTTGTTCATGTCAGAATACCTCTGTATGAACTCATGTGCCAGCATATGTCGATGAGCATTCGATATGATATGTTCGTTTATACGAGATATTGTGATTATCAAGTATTATATGTCTTATACACGGCAATATTGAGACTGATTGCACTTTGAGATATTATCGTTTACGGTAAGTATTTTTATACTATATGTAGCGTATATATTTGGAAACTATACTTGTTTTATGGTCAGAGTTTATATTTTTTTGAAAAGGTTTTAACAAAGCTTTATTTTTAGGCCCACTCACCCTTATTTTTCGCCCCTCCAAGTTTCAGTAGCAGAGCTTTTGTGTCGACGAGGATTCTTGGAAAATGTTGGTATAGGAGAGTACCTTTGATGGTATAATTCTTATCCTACATTTACTATACTTTACTTATGTACGTGTGAATTGGATTCAATCTCGCTCACATGCGCACTGCATTTAGGCACTTTTAGATTTAAATTTACTCATATTTCCACATCATTACACTTTATGGCTTCGTCACCTTCATGGTGTCAGCTAGCACAGCTCAATTTGAAGTCCAAGCGGATATCTCGGATCAGGGTGTGTCATAATTTTCAAAAGGCAAAGTGAAATCGTAATCGAGTTCCAAGAAACGTATAAATTAAGTGGAAAACTAATGAAAATGGCTTGAAAACTTTAAGTTTTAATCAAAAGAACAAAAAAATGTTGTAAGTGAATAGGGGGTAAAATGTCCTTAATGTTAAGATTCCCTAAATTAAAGGCCCTATACTTTTAGAGAATTGTTATTAGCACTCCAAAAATCTCATTCTACACTCCTCACAAGTGTATTTTTTTTCTTCTAATTATAGAAAATTTTGAAATGCCAAATAAGATTTTTGAAATACTAATACTAATTCTCTACTTTTAATTTATGATCGAGGGTAATTGCGGACCAACTCCACCACTAATAAATTGATTGGGCCTAGGCTTCTCTTACAGCCCAAAAACAATAATAA